AGAGATTCAAGTAATTTTTATTCAAATAGCCTTGTCTACAAGCAATTTTATAAGCCCAATAGCTTACTACTTATATTACACTTTAGTCCGCAGGAATGGTAACGCATGGGTGGGGGGAGGGCGGGAATATGGGTGAAACAGTATACTCTGTTATGTCCATGGTACTGCTTATGTCTATAGACGACAGTTACCACTTTCCATCAAATGGGCCGTCAGCTTATTTGCCATTTTAAGTTGCGTAAAAAAAAACTTTTAAACCGTAATTTTTTTACGAATACATGATTAGAAAAGTTGATACCAACAAAGAAGGACCCACAAGAAACTCAACTGTTACTCTTTTAAATCTCTGTTAGCATTATGTATATTTATTTAAGTGTACTACACGTATTTCTAAAATTACATGGTCATTAAAAAGCCCATGCGTGATCGTCTAACACCATACACATTTGTCATTCAAGTAATATATGATTTAAAATAATAATAGGCTTTGTTTAATAAGTGTTTTTTATTGGCATATTGCATTCTACAATAGTAGTAGAGGTTTGAGGTAAGAAATGGCAGTGTAACGTCACAAACGTTGCAGTAACATGTTTTTTTTAATGGGTGATAATGGAATGGGAACCCCGCCTGTGCTATCGGTATACACTGGCGGGGCACTAGTGAGAGATGATAGGTGAGGATGAAGCAGGTCAGTTAGCCCACCGCGACGAATCTAACAATAAATCAATCACGATGGTCTCCATGGGGAACCACGAGGAGGTCGACCTGACAGAGTATATTGCTAGCTATGAGGCTACTAAACCCCATTACTAACAATCCCTTCTCCCCCTGCAGTAACATTTTAAAAATAGATCAATTTCGATGCATCTACCATCTAAATCGATACACATACGAGTATAGTTCTCGAAATAATGTATATGGTAAAACAACGTTTGCCGAGTCAGCTAGTATATATATATATATATATATATATATATATATATATATATATAAAGCAATATGTCATATATGTCTTGATATAGAAGATATATTAAGAATATCTTCTACGTAAAGTTCTTGTAAAGAAATTTTAAATCAATAGGAGAGCTCTTAATAAGACCAACAAGGCAAAACAATCATTTTTAGATATTTTGTCTGTATATTTTATCCAGCATTACGCATAAACTACTGCACCAATTATATATGGTTTTGCTGAAGTTGCTGAAGAAAGAAAGAAAGAGAAAAAATAACTGGTATTGCCACAATTGCAGTCTGTTATTTTTGGAGCACAATTTGAAATTATTGTAGAATAAAATCATTAGTTTTCTACTTTATGTAATCTCAAATACGTTTTATTGAAAAACAATATAAAAATAAGACTGTTCGTAGACTGACCTTCAAACGATCTTATTAGGGGTACCGACAGAGACAATTGAATATTAAACATAATATTATACAGTTACTTTCCATGTTGAAAGCGAGACGCGGCAACGTTGGGGCCGCTGAGATGATTTGCACACAATAGCTAACACAGTGATCGAGATAAACATAAAAACCAGTCTCGCCATAATCCGCCGTCTGACTGCGTGTCACTGGTCTGATTTCACTCTCTTCTATTGAAGATTAGAAATAAGTAAGAAGTTTATTCTCATGATTAGGGATGGCCGACTTGACTAGACCCAAGATCTACTGTTTACTGACGGGGGGGAAAGGGATTGTTAGTAATGGAGACTGAGAATCCTATTGCTAGCAATATACCCAACCAGGTCGGCCTCCTCGCGGTTCCCCCTGGAAACTATCATGGTTAATTCCTGATGAATTCATCATGATGGGCTAACTGGCCTGTTTTCATTCTCATCTATCACCCTTTACTGTTGCTCCGCCAGCGTATCCCGTTAGCGCAGGGGTTACCATTCCGCTTTCACCCATCAAAAAAAAAACTGTTTACTGACGTAACCCTTTGCGATCTACCAATTACATACTTCTTGAAATCTCAAATGAAACAACATAGTTCAGTACACAATTATGTATTATTATAGTATTTTTTATTTTATTTAAAGGGAAAACAATAAAACTGAATTTTTTTTTAAATTTCTGTAAGCATGTATTTGGCAACACGATTCTCGGTTCCTACGGGACAGGCTCTGGCTCATGTGGGAATCAATGTTAAAGTTTTGTGCATAAAAACATACTTTAGTAATAGATACATTTTTACTTTTTAATTTTAATTCTTAGTAACTATTTATTTATTTATATTAGTATGAGCATTGCGTCTGAGCATCTTCCAAAAAATTATTTTTTTTGCCTTGCCACGATCGATTGAATTAATAGTCGCGATCGACCGATTGGCTACTTCTGTTTTAGATCATATTCACATGTAAATAGAGTGTATTGTCCAAAAGCGTTCTGAAAGCAGTCGCAAAATAGAATTAGAAGTTAGAATTACCAATCGATAATGCAACATGCTCGATTAGTAAACAATTTAAATTAACATAATTAATTATAATTAATTAAATTAATACATGCTAATTATGATTGTTTGTATATACACAGGTTTGTAATGTTTGTATATAATCAGCTGATGACCTTTGTTAAGCTTCAATTATGTAAAGGTTCCTGCACTTTGATTATGATGACGTGATGACGGTTGATAAATATATTAATAATAACATTTGTTTATTTGCGTAAAACATGGTAAACAATGATGTTTTAATTATGCTTGTTGTCGTTATATTCTATAATTTGACTGCCATTTACCATCCTTAAAAACGGAACACAGCCAAACAAGTATAGCTAGTTAATCATCAGAGCAGGAGGGGGGGGGGGGGAGGATTGTTAGTAATGGGGTCTAACAGTCCCATTGTCAACAATTTCCACAACCAGCTCGACCTCCACGTGATCCCCCTTGAAAACCATTGTGTTGAATTCCAGAATAATTTACCACGATAGACTAACTGGCCTGCCCTGTCATCATTACCTATCATCCCTCACTGATACCTCACCGGTGTCTTCGTTAGCGCAGGCGGGGTTACCATTTAATTGTCATCCATTAAAAAAAAAGTTAGCATCAGAAATCCGAATGAATATGACCAATAGCCCAAACTACTTTATGCACACACATCTGTCACATCTGCCTCCCATTAGGATAGGCAGAAGCAATGAAACGTCAAATGCTTTGATTTAAACAGATCTCTTTTGCTTGCTCCACATTCATCAATCTTTTCATACACGCTCGCCGGTTACGGGTACTTTTAATATGGCCCTTCTTCAGCACGTCTCCTATATGATCGACATAAGACCATTTAAGGAGGCTCCTACCTATATCTCCAACTAAATTATGATCATTAATATATTATTTTTATAAATATATTTTTTTATACAACTTAGAATGGCAAACAAGCTGACGGTCCACCTGATGGAAAGTGGTAACCGTCGCCTATAGACATGAGCAGTACCATGGACGTAACAGAGTATACTATTTCGCCCATCATACCCCCCATGTGTTGCCATTCCTGAGGACTCAGGTGTTATTCCTCTGTACCCAGTAAATTCACGCCATATCCCACCCTTCAAACCGAAACACAGCCATGCAAACACAACTGCTTCACGGTTGAAACACGAATGGGACAGAGGTACTCAAGCAATCGACTTTTGTACAAAGTTGTAAATATACAAGTATACACATTGTATGTATGTACATACGATTGCTCATTTACTGTGTCGGTATTAAATTTGAATTGCATCGGTGCTTACAATTTTATAACGCTCTTGCCTGTTTAGTAATTAACATTGACTCTTTGACATCAACCTTTGGAGTTCAACAATTGCAAATAAGTGATTTCATAACAGCTTTACGTTTTATTTTAAATAAACTTATTACCTGCGACTTTGTCTGCGTGACCGGGATATATTGATAGAACGGGTTAAAAAGATAGCTTAGGTGTTAAAAAATGTGTCTTTTTTGTAATAGCTAATAGTTTTTTTTTATATAGCTTAGAATGGCAAACAAGCTGACGGCCCATCTGATGGAAAGTGGTAACCGTCGCCTATAGACATGAGCAGTACCATGGACATAACAGAGTATACTGTTCCGCCCATGATACCCCCCATGCGTTGCCTTTTCAGAGGACTAAGGTGTTATTCCTCTGTACACAGTAAATTCACGCCATATCCCATCCTTCAAACCGAAACACAGCCATGCAAACACAACTGCTTCACGGTTGAAACACGAATGGGACAGAGGTACTCAAGCAATCGACTTTTGTACAGTCTCCCTCTGGTATGAAATGGTAACCCCATCTGCGCTGATTGTATTCGTTGGTGGGGCTTCAGTGACAGATGATAGGTAAGAATGAAAAGGCAGGACAGTTAGCTACCAACTAAAGCTCCATCCCAACCATCTGGACGAGTGGCGGTCCTCCACCGTGCGTTTTTCATGGCACTTTCGTCTACGCACAACCACTCTTTGGAATCAACTTCTAACAGACGTATTTCGATATGACATCAATTTACTGTGTTATGAAAGAAAAAGTATAAAACAAACATCGAATAATTGAATGTTCCGATTAATTGTTAATTTCACTTAGTGTTTCTGTAAGAATTTCAACAAAATTAATTGCTTTTTCAAGTTCTGTTTGAATAGATTATACATTTGTACGTGTTTCAAATATTTTGATGGAAAAGGGTGTCTTGTAATATTATCTAATATAAGAATCTATTTATTACAATAAATATAATAAAAATATATTTATTTATTTAACTCCTTACTGCACCAGAAACATACAAATAAACAATGACATATAAACAATTCAAGTGAAATACAGTAGCATGGAGTACAGATCAAAATGTACATTATAAAGGTACAAAAGGCGGTCTTATCGCTAGGGCAATCTCTTACAGACAATCTTTGGTTAAAGGAGAACAGATAGAAGTGTGTAGGTGGCGTAAGAGTGAATTAGTAATGATAAATTCTTCTTCTTCCTACCCTTTAATTATTAATGATATATTACTCGATATTTCAGATGCAAACGATCCTGCACCACAACGGCAGCGGTGCAGCGGCGTACACGGACCGGCTGAAGAAAAGGGAGGTACACCGCGCCATCACCCTTCACCCTGTCAAAGATCACAGGCATATGTATCGACTGCACTCCTATTTTAAGGTACGTCTAGCTCTATCCCGTGGCTCTGTTCGTGGTTGTATCGTGATATTGAATAGTTTATAACGTTCTTAAAGAAATACGCTATTATATGCAAAAAGAATTTTTCAAAATCAACTGGTAATTCCAAAAATTTGTGCGTTTGTTTTAACAAACTCTTTCTCTTTATTATATTTCTATAGATTAGACCAACGTAGAAAGCGGACGTACTATTTCTAATCTAGGATGCAATTAAAAAAAAAAACTACTATTGTTTTTTATGCAATTTATAATGGCAAACAAGCTGACGGCCCACCTGATGGAAAGTGGTAACCGTCGCCTATAGACATGAGCAGTATTGTAGACATAACAGAGTATACTGTTTCGCCCGTGATACCCCCCATGCGTTGCCATTCCTGAGGACTCAGGTGTTATTCCTCTGCACCCTGTAAATTCATTGCCATATCCCACCTTTCAAACCGAAACACAGCCATGAAAACACAACTGCTTCACAGTAGAAATACGAATAGAACAGAGGTACCCAAGCAAATACCTTTTGTACAAAGTATTATGACATCCTGGTGTATTCATCACGGTGGGCTAACTGACCTGCCTTCTCATCTCACCTATTATCCCTCACTGGTGCCCCGCCAGCGTATACCGTTAGCGCAGGCGGGGTTACCATTCCACTGTCGTCCATTAAAAAAAAACATTACCTGTTATGACGATGACTTGTTAACGTTTATATAAAGTTGTTTTAACTGTTCGTAGTAACCAAATATTTACTCGTAAAACGGATCTAAATTATCAGAGGGTCTACCATGAAATGTTTTCCGAAATTTCAGGGTTGAACGAAACACAACCGTGAAGCAGTTGTGTTTGCATGGCTGTGTTTCGGTTTGAAGTGTGGGTTATGGCGTGAATTTACTGGGTACAGAGGAATAACACCTGAGTTCTCAGGAATGGCAACGCATGGGGGGTATCATGGGCGAAACATTATAGTCTGTTATGTCCATGGTACTGCTCATGTCTATAGGCGACGGTTACCGCTTTCCATCAGGTGGGCCGTCAGCTTGTTTGCCATTCTAAGTTGTAGAAAAAAAAAAACAAATTTCATCTTAAAATTACATTATACATGTCGTTTAAAAATATTAAAATATCTTTATTTTGGTTTTTTATGGTAGGATTTATGACGAATGAAATTTGAAGTTCCATTAACTCATTTTGGTACGAACAAAAACACGAAAGGAAGTCTGAAAATTCGGAATTTAATTTCATGGTAGACCGCTTGGTAACAACCATAATTCGTAGTTTTATTGCGAGCTTTATGTTGGTGCGAACAATATGACTATAATAAAAAAAAGACAATATAATATTAAAAAAAAAACAAGTTTTCGTATTGTATCATCTTTAAATATAGACGGAGAAATATTTAAACTTTATATTAGTAATCTTGCTTTGTTTATGATAATATTCCTGTTTTTTTATTTTTTTTTATTTTAATAATCAAGCGAATTATACCTAGGTGTGGTTCGTTTACATCTCGTTTATATACTAGTGACTTGCTTCGGTTTTTTTTGATGGGTGAAAATGGTATAATAACCCCGCCTGCGGTAACGGGATACGCTGGCGGAGCACCAGTGATGGGTGATAGATGAGAATGAAAACAGGCCAGTTAGCCCATCATGATGAATTTATCAGGAATCAACCATGATAGTTTCCAGGGGGAACCGCGAGGAGGTCGACCTGGTTAGGTATATTGCCAGCAATGGGATTCTCAGTCTTCATTACTAACAATCCCTTTCCCCCCAACTTGCTTCGGTCTCATACGAGTGCAATTTATTACAAAAATTTTTTTTCTGTTACACTAAAATTATTGCCACCAAGCAGCTGCTCCTATAAGGGGAACTCTTACCAGTAATTGACACGTTTGGCAAGCGAGTTGGGAACTGCAGTTAGGCTTTGATGATGTAGGACGCTGCTCCCTATCTTTCGACTATTAAGTTACTTTAGTCGCCTCTTACGGCACCCACGGGAAAGGAAAAGGTGGCCCGTTCTATGCCGGGACTGTGTAGGCAAAGGGCCACTTCGCTCATCCATTAAATTCACTGCCATATGGGATACTGATGGGTATAATATGGTGTATTTTTTTTTATACAACTTAGAATGGCAAACAAGCTGACGGCCCACCTGATGGAAAGTGGTAAGCGTCGCCTATAGACATGAGCAGTACCATGGACATAACAGAGTATACTGTTTCGCCCATGATACCTTCCATGCGTTGCCATTCCTGAGGACTCAGGTGTTATTCCAGGTGTATGGATGGTATTATAGCATTTATGTCTACAATAGATGACAATCAAATCTTTATTCTCTTATTAGATTATAAATAAATTGTTGTACCAATTAATTTGACGTAATTGAAAATAATCAACGGTCGGCTGCAATTCGCGGAAAAAATGTGTAAAAAATGTGTAAACAGGTCGGCGTGTACTCGTACGCAGTCTGGTATATTGCATTATCATTGTGTATGCGTCAAAACAGGAAAATGTTGTCAAATTACCAGAGGGAGACTTTGTACAAAAGTCGATTGCTTGGGTACCTCTGTCGCATTCGTGTTTCTACCGTGAAGCAGCTGTGTTTGCATGGCTGTGTTTCGGTTTGTAGGGTGGGATATGGCAGTGAATTTACAGGGTACAGAGGAATAACACCTGAGTCTTCAGGAATGGCCACGCATAGGAGGTATCATGGGCGAAACAGTATACTCTGTTATGTCCATGGTACTGCTCATGTCTATAGGCGACTGTTACCACTTACCATCAGGTGGGCCGTCAGCTTGTTTATATATATGTATATATATGAGATATATATACATATATATAAAGAGACATGATGAATTTCTTCTGGCGATGAATCACCACGCAGTTGACATTATGGCTGTCAATGAGACTTGGCTAAGACCAGGGGAGGAAGGACGCGCACCAATTGTGCCTGGATACCGACTGCGTCACCAGCCACGGTCGAATGATGTGCGCGGGGGGCGTGGCGGAGGTGTCGCCTTCTATATTAAAACAGATATAAATGCACGAGTGCAAGCGCATCCAAGTCATCCAACTGTTGAACAATTGTGGTTGACTCTAAGCTTAAACAATAAAAAATTGCTTATCGGTACCGCGTATCGCCCACCATGGCTCGATTCTGAAATATTTTTAGATGCTATCATGGACAGTATCTGTTCCTTTGCTCATTGTGATAATGTCGTTCTGCTTGGTGATTTCAATATTAATATGATTGAAGTTAATGATAGCAAAACTAAAAAATTACATGATTTTTTAAAATGTTGTGGCTTGATGCAAATTATTACTGTACCTACTCATATTCTAAATAATAGTCAAACACTTATAGACGTTGTATGTACAGACGCACAAACTAGAAATATTTCGGTGGATCATGTCCCTGACCTTGGCCACCATTCATTCATCTCCTGCGAAATATTAGTAAAAAAAGATAAACCGCGACCTAAAATTTTAAAATACCGTCCTTTAAAGGATATATTACCGCATCTGTTCGAGGAAGATTTGAGATCAATACCATGGAATTCCATACACGAATGCCGTGGAGTAAATGATATGGTATTGAGTTTAAATAATTTAATCTTACAACTTTATGACCTCCATGCTCCAATTAGAAATAAAAAAATTACGACTCGGTCTACACCTTGGCTTACTGATAACGTAAAATATGTAATGAAATTACGGAATGAAGCCCATAATAAATATCGCAACTCTAAACTAGAATGTGACAAAACTTATTATAAGGAACTTAAACGTCACACCACTATTGCATTATCTTGCGAAAAAAAGGCATATTATGATCAGCATATCAATAATAACATAAATAATCCAAAAAAATTATGGCAAAATCTTAAATCAGATATCTTACCAGATGCTAAGAACTTTGAAATTCCATCAACATTTAACAACCCTGATGAAATGAATAAAACTTTTCTCGACGTTCCTGGTACGCATAGTGTTACCATATCTCAGTTAACTTACTATGAATTTAATAGATTTAGCTCAAATACTTTTAGTCTTAAGCCTGTTAGTCGGGATATTGTTCTAAAAATTATCACTGAATTAAAATCAAATGCGCAGGGAAATGATAGCATTAGCCGTGACATGTTACACCTCACGCTACCATATTCTTTAGACGCAATCACGACAATAATCAATGAATCAATACTAAGTAGTACCTTTCCAGAGATATGGCAGATGGCTATTGTGCGTCCGATTCCTAAAACCAATAATCCTACTGAAATTAAAGACCTTAGACCCATAAGTATACTACCATCTTTATCTAAAATTTTGGAAAGAGTAGTATACTTACAAGTGATGGAGTATTTAGAGGCAAATAGCACATTACCTGACTTGCAATCTGGTTTTAGGAAAAACCGTAGCACCTCTACAGCTTTATCAGACGTGGTAGGCAATATTTTAGAAGCAAGAGATGATGGTAAAGGAACTTTGTTGGCTCTTTTGGATTGTTCTCGGGCATTTGATTCAATTAACGTACAACTGCTTATATCTAAATTATCTTATTATGGTTTTGATATAAAAACAATTCAGTGGTTTAATAGCTATTTTTCAAACCGAAGTCAAATTGTAGAAATTAGAAAGGAAGATGGGTCGTTTCTTTCGTCTCACCCTCTTTCGGTATCTAGAGGTGTTCCACAAGGATCGATTTTAGGACCTTTATTGTTTATTATATATATCACCGATATCATCAGTTGTATTCATCACTGCAAATATCACATATATGCTGATGATTTGCAGCTGTTTATATCTTGTGAACCCAAAGATACGACAGAAACTATACAGAAACTTAATGAAGATCTTAAAAGAATTACTACATGGGCGGAAAATAATACATTAGCACTAAATCCGATAAAATCCAAATTTATGATTCTAGGAAACAAAAAGCAAATTAGTAAAATCGCATTGACGAAACCGATTGTAAAAATAATG